GCCGCGGCCCGCAGTCCGCAAGCCCGGCTGCCGAGGGGGCCGCAGCCGGCTCCGCTCTGCGCGTGGGACAGCGCGCGAGTGCAGTCCCGCGCGGAGCTGTCCCCGAGGTCTGGCTTCCGTTTCGCTACGCGAAGGGCTCTTGCGTGTCCTGGCTGCGCGCTGGTACACTTGAGTTTCAGGCTGCGTGCCGCCGCCTGGAGCGCGACGTCTTCACAACTACTTTTTTCAGATAGAAAGCGGTCTAGTTCTTTGACGAAGTGCATAAACGTACCTACGGGGGACACCAGCGAGCGCCCTTCCTTTTCTGGGAGAACAGCCCCCACCTGGGAAGGAGCAGGGGGAAGCACGGCAAGGGAACGTGCTCGCAAGAGAAGGGAGAGGACACGGGAAACTGACGCTCCAGCTTTTGCTCCGCACCTCAACGGAGACATCGTCAGAGATAAAACACGTACTATCTGACGACCAGCGGCTGACAGGCGGGAGGGTGGGGCACGGAACTGTGCCCTGCGTCCCCCACCATGTAGAGGTGTGCTTTACATACACTTACGCTGCTTTACAACGTGACTGGCTTGCACGGAATATAGGCGCTTCTTTCCAACAACTCAAGCCAGGAACCTGAATTTACCGCCGGGATAAACAAGTGTGCGGCACCGGCAGGAGAAAGCAGAATGCATCTTCCCGCTTCCCCGGGCAGAGGGACGGTCTTGAAGAAACTCCAAGGCAGAGCTAGGCTGTGGCTTGCTCCCACCCCAGGCCCTTCAAGCAGGCTTTGGCTGCTGGGGGCCCCCGGGTTCCTTGAAGCACCCTGTGCCTTGAAACTTACCAGTTCGATCCCATTTCCCCTTTCTCGCAGAGAAGGGCAGCGAGGCTGCACTTAAGCAGAATCTTTTTTGGTGGTGGTATGGGGATGGCACCCGGGGCCTTCCACATACTAAGCAAGTGCTCTACGCTGAGCTCCGTCCCAAGACCAGACTCTAATCAATGAATGATATGGCAACGTGTCAATGGTCAGGAATTGCACATCACTCTCAGAGAGCTACATTTTAAAACACAAAACTTCAAATCTCAATTCTCTTAACTGGTAGGGCTTCAGGCAAAATAATCGAGAAGCAAAAAATAAAAGCTGGATGCAGATGCACACTAGAAGGCGAGGGGTAACCTCCCAGGTGGCTCACACGGAGGGTGTACGAGGCTCCTTTGAGATACCTCTGTTCTGCATGGCATTCTCCCTTTATGTACTCCCTAACCACCCGAAAACTTTATGAAAACGCCAGTGGCAGTTGAGGTCCTCCTCCCCTCACACAGCAAGGGAGGAGTCTTGGGAGGGCAGGGATATTACATCTGAAAATGGCACAGTAAGAGCCGGGGATATAGCCCAGCAGCACAAGAGCCTGCCTGGCAAGCACCAGGTCCCAAGTTCGATTTCCCGGTACCAAAAAAATAAAAATAAAAAAAATGGCACAGCAACATCTGGCAGAGCAAGTAACAAGCTAACCCTAAACACTATTATGACTGTAGGCATTGGCTAAATTCTGTTGTTTTTAATTCTCTTTGACTTTTTCTCCCGGCCTTCTGTCATCCTTTCTACAGGTTGCTTCTTCAATCCCTTCATTTTCCCACTTTGTAGTTTGCTTAGGTCTTGTTTCTGCATTATGAATCATTCCATATGTTTTATCTAAAGTATCATGGGACATATTTGTCTTCTTTGGCTTGAGAGGTTTTGGCATTTTCACAGATAACTTATAAAGGTCATCTGAAGCCAGGAGTGTCCACCTCAGAACCAGATCCAGTGACGGTCCCATCTCCTAACTCAATCTGTGGTATTCTGCAACCGTATTTCTTCAACAGCAAAACATACAGCTTCAAAAATAACCCTTCCTCTCCCGAGCAGGGAAGGGCAGAACGTACTGTAGCCCAGCCGTGGATGCATGCTACTGCAGGGCCTCCAAAGAGACCAGTAAGAAGACTCCAGACGTCTGTAGTCTTCTGTTACATCAAAATCATCACCAGCAAATACTAACATGAGTTTCGTTCCCTCAGGACATTTACTGTTGTTAGTATCTTTTAGAGACACAAAGTTTTCAATACCTAATTCAGTCATATCCAGCACTTGGTAGTCATATGTATGACCTATTGTTAGAGCATTGGGCAGCTTCTTAGGGGATCCAAACATGAGTAAAGAACAATCTGACTTCTGTGAAAAGAATTCCAGTAGTCTGATCTACAAATGGTCTTGTAACATTTTCCTTTTTATACAAAACTCCGTATGGTTTTTTCAGACCATACTGTAAAACATAATTTATAGTTTTCAAACAAAACATTCAGGTTTTTCAGTACTTGTGTAAATTGTTTTTGATTTTACATTTTACACTTCCCCCTTTAATCAGCATGGCATTTTTAATATTTTCACTAAGTTTTGGTTCTCTCTTCTCAAGGAATCTTTTGGCCCTTTTTGCGGGGGAGGCTTTGGGAGGGTTAGTACAAGGTGTCTTATCACTGCCACAATTTTATTATTTTATTTTTTGTCTTTTTGAGACAGGGTCTCACTATGCAGTTCAGGTTGGTCTTGAACTCACTTTGTACCCAGGCTGGCCTCAAACTCAACGATGCTCCTGCTTCAGCTTCCTGAGTGCTAAGATTATAGGCACGTGCCACCACGCCCGGCTCACAATTTTAGTCTAGCTAATACATACGCACTGCACGGATGCCAAAAACACTAACTTTTAAAATATTTGCTACAGTACAAAAGAATAGGGCAGTCAACTACAATAGTAACGTGGGGATGGAAGTTCTCTTAAAAGGCACTTTGAAGGTTAAAGGTAATCCAGTGTATACATGGGTGAGGGAGTAGTTTGGGTACATAGTTGGGTATACAAATAACCTTTCAGGGGAAACTAATTTTTTTTTTTTTTTTTTTGGTTTTTTCTCTGGTACCGGGAACCGAACTCATGACCTTGCGCTTGCCAGGCAGGCGCTTTTGCCACTGAGCTAAATCCCCAGCCCTGAAACTAATTCTTTAGATAAGCAGAGTTTGAGGTGCCAATGAGATACGAGTTTAAGTAATGGAGATATAGATTTGGGAATTAATCAACATACAGAGAAGTCTTAAAACTGCTAACCTTCAGACAAGGAAATAGTCCAAGAAAGTATAAAAAACAGGCCACTGAAATAAACTAGAGTGATTACAAGCAGCATTTGAATCTACTTGCTACAAATGTTGGAATATAGCTCTTGTAGAAGGTTTGCCAGGAGCCAGGCCCTGGGTTCAATCCCCAGTATGGGGGAGGGGGCATGGGAGAACACCTATAATGCCTGCACTCTAGGAGAAAAGGATCACATTTGAGCCCAAGGAGCGGGTGTGGTGGCGCGGGCCTATAATCCCAGCACTTGGGAGGCTGAGCCAGGAGGATTACCAAGTTCAACGCCAGCCTGAGCTACATAGTAAAGTCAAGACCAGCTTGACCTACACAGCAAGACCCTGTCTCCAAAAAAATTGGAGCCCAGTCTGGGCAATTTATTGACTTAGTGAGACTGGGTCTCAAAAAGTACAAAAGGGCTGGGGATGTAGCTCAGTGGGAAGGACCTTGGATCAGTACCTGGAACCAGCCACAGACACGCTAAAGAGTGACCACAAAGTATCTTCCATCTGTCTTTGTTTTTGTTTTATTTGCTGTTTTGCTGCTAGAGATTGAACCTGGAGACACTGGCATGCTAAGCAGCGTTCCACCCAGAGCTACACCCTCAGCCCCCTTTGTCTTTAATGACCTGAAATTCCAGGTGATATCTCTATCTACTTGACCTCTCATCTTTACAACTATTTGGCAGTGTGCCTGCTACCCTAAAATAAAGATACGCTTCTGTCAATATATATTGAGTTTTTAATCTGTGCCTAAACTATCTGACAAAACAGATCATCCTCTGGATGTAAATTTAGTTTCATGCTCTCTCTCAACTGATCCCAGTTATTTATTTTCTCGTATCACTCCCAACCCGAAGCCTCTGCTCTATACCAAAATGTGTTCCACAAGTCTGAGCCCCCCTACTCTGTCTCTAGCCCCTATGTATACATCATACCTTTATGTGTGTGCCTTTGTCTTGGGGGTTGAACCAGGGCCTTTGCATACTAGACAATCACTCTACCACTAAGCCACATTCCCAGCTCTTTTTTGAGACAGGGTCTGAGATAGGCTTGTCTATCACGCCTGGTCATAGCATGCCTTTAAGTCCTTTTCCATTTACAATACAGAATGGCCACCCCAATTCTACTTTTATACTAATGTTCAGTTTAAGAATCATGTAATATATTTCCAGTTCAACAAATGTTTACTAAGTGCCTCCTCACTTAACATTAACAGAATATTTATTCCACTTTAAATACATGTTATTTCATTTTTAAAAATCTATTTTATATGAACCATTAACAGCTGTACCAAATATCCAGTGGTTTCAAAATATCTGATACAAATTAGTCTATAATATTAGTTTTAACAAAAAAAAAATAGATCATGTTGCCTTCCATCTATTATTATAAATAATCATGTGTTAGATGCGGAGTGCATATAATACTGAAAATCTATATAGAAGAGATTTAGGTTATGCCACTAAGAAAAAAAATCACATATGATCACATTTAAGTCAATCTATCTATAGTGTTAGGGTTTTGGGTTTTTTGTTTTTTGTTTTCGTTCTTGGAGACAGTCTCATTATGTAGTTCAGATTGGCCTTGAACTCACTATGTAGCCCAGGCTGGCCTCGAACTTGTGATCCTCCTGCCTCAGCCTCCCAAGTGCTGGGATTTCAGGCATGTTCCACCATGCCTGGCTCCATACTGTTAGATTGTTTAAAGGTTTCTTCAATGTTTTGTGTACAACGGGGAAAAAATGTGATTTCTTTGATGAAAAAGTTTACAAAGATTACAAAGAAATTTCTGAAATGCAAACTATCTGCTTTCCGATGTTACCGCCTGTCATCATGGATTGGAATGCAGCTGGAAAGGAAAAAAAAAAGTTATCTAAAAAGCTAAATGTCCCCATCATACTTGTTTACCAGTTGTTCAAACACATAAAATTATTTTGAATGATGTCTTCAACGATTTTATGTTATTTTGTTTTTTTGAGATAGGATCCCGCTATGTAGCCCAGGCAGGCCTTGAAGTCATGGAAATCCTCCTGCCTCACCCTCGAGTGCTGGGATCACAGATGTGTACCCCTATTGCCCAGGTCTTCAATGATTTTAATAGTGAACATAGATGGAAATTATCATGAAAAAGCCTGTCCTTCTCCAACCTGGCCTGACCCTCCTAGCCCCCAGCCTGCTTGCCAGCAGAAGCACTGCTGTCTACAGGGAACTCAGCTCAGCACTGAGGCTGTCAGGAAAAGAGATAAGATAGGACAAGGAAGTCTGCAGGTCCTGGAGACATTTGGAGACACCCAAGAATTTACAACAGAAACTTCAAAGGACTCTGCCCAATGAGATGCAACATTGCTAGAAAACTTTAACCACAGATGTTCATTGGGATCTTCCTGCTGAATGTCCCCTGCCTTCGCTCCGTCCCTATGAAAGGGACACACTTCTCTTTGTTCAGGTCAGAAGGTTTTATCACACTCTGGCACAATAAATTCCAAGCCATGTTGCCTTTACACAAACCTGGTGGTCTCTGCTGCTTACATATGTTACAAAAACCTCAAGTAAAACCAAGTTACATCACAAACTAACCCAGTTAACATTTTAAAAAATTACTGTTATCTAAATTGGAAATGAACAAAAGAAAAAAAGTTAAATAATGAAAATTTGCTTAATTTTATGATGTCTCACAATCATTTAATCTGAAAAAGTTACCTAGACCCTAAGTAACTTTCTGAATCCTTACGTTTTTATAAACTGTTTGAAAAACCAAAGGAACATTTTACAGTTTGAAATGTGAAAATAATACCTCTCAAACAGTCCTAAGTTGAACTCTAATGGAGTTTGACTATATTAAAGGACAATTTTGCAGAGAAGAAATACACTTGGGAGCTAAGGCAGGAGAATCTCAAGTTTGAAGCCAGCCTGGGCAATTCAGTGAGACCACCTCAAAACAAAATAAAAAGGTTGGGCTCAGTGATAAGAGTGCCTGCCTGGTGTGCACAAACCTCTGGGTTTGACCCCCACCATCACATGCACACAAAAACCAAAACCCACATAAAATGTTCAGAAAGCACTGATCTCCAGAATTGCTACAGAGAAAAAATGGGTAGGGGTGTAGCTTAGGGGTAGAGCATGCTCCAAGCCCTGGGTTCAATCCCTAGCAAACACACACATCCACCCCCCAACCCCCCCACACACACACATACACAGGAGTAAAGACCTGAAAGGTAGTTGTGCAGCCAACATATATATCTGACCAATAAATCTGCATTCATCTTACCTCCCATGTTTTCCAATCCATTTATCACAGTTTCCTTGATCTGTAAGTCAAAATAGCTAGATTTAGTATTCTTTAAACTTCAGTGTTTCTGGGCTGGGGATTTAGCTCAGCGGCAAAGCGCCTGCCTGGCAAGCACAAGGTCGTGAATTCGGTTCCCAGTGCCGGAGAAAAACCAAAAAATAAAAAATAAACTTCAGTGTTTCTATTTTTTTATTATTATTAATATTATTATTATTATTATTATCATTATTATTATTTGGTACCCGGAATCGAACTCAGGACCTTGTGCTTGCCAAGCAAGGCACTGTGCCAATGAGCTACATCCCCAGCAATGTTTCTATTTAATGGCTTCAATTTATGCAAAAGAAAGCAACACTAATTAGAGTCTTACATCTAGAAACAGATGTTCTATATTTACAGTTCTAGTCCCCAAAATGACTGTAAAATGCATGTTCTGCAACATGTACTAATAAAATAAAATTCTTTAAAAATTTCCATTATTGCCAGGCATGGTGATGCACACCTGTAATCCCAGCACTCGGGAGGCTGAGGCAGGAGGATCCCTGCAAGTTTGAGGCCACCCTGGGCTACACAGTGAACTCAAAACCAGCCTCAAGTATACAGCAAGACCTTATCCCCCCCAAAAAAAAGTCGTCTTTTTTTTTCCCCAATGAAACCCTATAATTCCCATTGTCTAATATTACATAATTAACAGATCAAAAGCTATACACTTTTTAAAATATAAGCACATACCCCAAAACTTTCATTTACAGGTTTTGACAGCATCCAAGGTCTAGGTCTCTGAATCACAGATTAATAATTTATGTACTCAGTACACATTTCTTTTGTAGAAAAATTTTTTATAATGAAACAAATATTTGCTCCAATAAGCTCAAATAATACAAAAATACACCGAGTAACAAGAACTGTAATGATAAAGAATTGAAGTGACTTCTAAGGCTGGGGATGCAGCTCAGGGGTAGAGTCCTGGCATAGTATGCATGAGGCCCTGGGTGCCATCCCCGACTGTGGGGGGAAAGAAAAGAAAAGGTGTTACCTTTAGCTTTCCTTCTTTAAACCACCGGCTCAGCTGCAGAATGCCAGGCTCAAATTTATCCCTGTAATTTAACACCAGAAACCTCTCCCTGCCGTGAGAAGGAAAGGGTAATGATCAGAGACAAGGAAGGAGAGCCCTCAGATCACTCCAGAGTGCTAATCCGTGTTAACCCTAAAAACCCTTCAGACAATGGATTTAGCTGCACATCTGGTCAGATACAGTTTTAGGTATGGCTATAAATGTAAGTAGAGCAGACTTCTGTTTATGTCTGCCCGGTGTCAGTAGCCCTATTTGACCACAGTACTGCACTGTGATATTTTTTTCTTTGTAAATAACATCCTTTTTCCACCCTCACCTGATCTGACTCTGCCCAGTCAAAGCTGGTAAGTCACTCATTCAGGGTGCTCGTTAGTCAAAACCTAAACATTGAACCAGTTTAAAAGTATTTGCTTTCTGTAAATAAGGGCCAAAATGTGTAGTAAGTATTGCAAAACAGGGACAAGATGTTCAAACGGGAGGGGAACAAGGGAGCAGGGAAGGGGAAAGGAAAGAAGGGAAAAGTTTAAAAAAATGAGAAAAGAAGGAAAAAATGGAAATAAAGCTTTCCTAAATGGGAAGGGGAGGAGGGGTTGAAAGGAGGGGAAGGGAATGGGGCAAAAGGAACCAAGTTATGTCAGGCACAAATTCTCTATGATGAATGAGATCATTATGTACATCTAAAAGGTACCAATAAAATCTGACTAAAAATTAGAAAAAAAACAGTTCCAGGCCAGCTTGGGCAACACAGTGAGACCCTGTCTCAAACAATGAAATTTTTTTTAAAAAGTATATATTTTCAAGTTTTCCTAGATAAGGAAAATCTGTCTCTGAAGGACAGTACATTCCATATACATCTATGACATGTAAGCCCCTGGAATCTGGCGTAAGGGCAAAGGGAAGAAACGCACCTTGTGATGTTTCTGTCCTTCTGGATTGCCTCTATGGCGGGCGGGAGCGGGGGAGGATAAGGCACATCTTTATTGTACTGAGAAATCTGACCACACAGGATGATGTGGCTGTTCTGATTCATCTGCACAGAGAAAAACAGGCTTATGCTCTAGACAGATGACTTTCCTGTTTGCTGCTTTTATGGCTGTCTCAGTGACAGACTTCTTGACCATCATATTTAATCCTTTATTGCCAATTTACTGAGTTTGTTTTGAAGATATACCCATTAAATGTACGTAAGTTTTAATTAGCTAGATATAAGTCTGTTTCAAAGGAATATAAAGGCAAATGAAGTTTGGCACTCAATAAAAGAATTGTATTAGTTGTCATTGTTACTTTTATCATTAGTAGTGCATTTCTTTGATTATTTATTTATTTAGATTTTTTGAGACAGGGTTTCATTATGTAGTTTCAAGCTGACTTTGAACTCCTAGTGATCCTCCTGCCTCAGCCTCCCAAGTTTTGGGATTACAGGCATGTGCTACCATGCCTGGCAATGGATTTAAATAATAAAACCTCAACTGCAGATAATCTTTTTTTTTTTTAATTGCAGATAATCTTATATATAGGAAAGGAATATGCAGTTAATAGCTCATTTTATAACATTATTAATAAAAACACATAGATACCCATACTCTGTGAAAACAAAAGTAAGGGACTATGGCTGTGAGCTGGATGATAGGGAGTTAGGGGTCAGAACTTCAGGGTTTTTTGCTACCAGGAATCACACTCAGGACCTTGCACTGCCTGGCAGGTGCTGTGCCTCTGAGCTATATCCCCAGCACAGAACTTTAGTATTTTAAAAATGCATCCTTAATTTTTTTTTTTTTAGAGATTGAAGCAGGTGTCTCACACTTGCCATGGCTACTTCCCCAGACTTCTTTATTTGGAGACAGGGACTCACTGAGCTGCCCATGTGGATCTTGCGCTTGTGACCATCCTGAGGGATTATAGCTACTAGATGTCATTTTTCACAAAAATAAATTGAAGATAAAAATGTGTTGCTAGGCAAGAACTGACACTGAAGCTCACAGTACAAGGCTGTGAGCAAATGAAAGCAGGTGTCAGCAAGTTCTTGCTATCACTTAAAGGTAATAATAAGTACAATAAATCCTACAACTTTATCTTCCCCCTCAGTATCAGGTAAAAAGACATCCAAACAAATGAAGTGATGCATTCAGATCTGTTAGAGATAAGTCCGTGAACACCTGACTGATCACTGTGTCACTGATGTCGCCGCCAACATTGTCGAAGTAAACGTCCACTCCCGCTGGGCATGATTCTCGGAGCTGTTCCGCCACGCTCCCTTTCTTATAATTAATTGCGGCGTCAAAGCCCAGTTCTGAGGTCAAGAAGAGGCACTTCTCCTGTGTCCCACATATTCCCACCACTCTGGAACAGCCCAGCAGATGGCCAATCTAGGAGGAAATTTTTTAATGAAATGGTTTATATTGTCACATTTAAACACGTAACTGTGCAAACATGCAAGCTATGACAAGCAGCTGAGGGTACTCCTCACAGGTTAGGGAGATCACACTGGTTTCGGCTAAAAGAAAATTTGAAAGCTAGAGAAATGAGGACAGACAGTGTCCTCATTCAGAAACTTAACACTGAATAAAATTACTCAGTAAAAGATTCATGATTTAAATCTGATCTTACATAAGGAACAATCAGACCCCAAACACCACTACCTTACAATTCAGTATTTTTTAGGCCTGTGTGGATCAAAAGAAAACATTTTGTTTTAATAGTTTCTACAGTATAAAGACTATTACTCATAAAACAATGCACTTTGTAAAGTTCTATCAAAATATGACTATATGCCCAGAATAAATGTTGTTTCTCTATTACAGAAGTCCTCGGCATTGAAGCTTGAGCCCTTGCCCTGAGCTACATCATCAGCCCTTTATTTTTTGAGACAGGTCTCACCAAGTTGTTAGGCTGCCCGGCTGGACTTTAGTTAGGATCCTCTGCCTCAGCCTCCCATGGTGCTAGGGATTATAGGTGTGGGCCACCATGCCTGGCAATAAATGCTTTCTTACTTGAGGTTATTTCTTTAAAAAATGAGTTTGTAGCCGAGCGTGGTGGTGCACACTGTAGTCCCAACACTTGGGAGGCTGAGGCTGGAGGATCACCCTGAACTCAAGGCCTACCTGGGCTATCCAGTGAGCTCAAGACCAGCCTGAACTATGTAGCAAGACCTTGCTCAAAAAAAACAAAATAAATACAGAAGAGTTTGTGTTTGCAGGGGCAGGGGGCTGCAGGCCATTGAACCCTAGCCCTCACATATGCTTGCACAGGCACACAGGCTATACTCTTAGTTACACCCTCAGCCACTTGTTAGTTTTTTACTTAAATGGAATTCCAGACAGATCTCTCTGATTCTCATCCTTACATGAATGACAGCAATGCTCTAACATTTACCAAATCTATTTCTGGTTAATGGAGAATGAAACACAAAAATCTATATTCTTCATAGTATTATTACTAACAGAGTCTAAGTAATAACACCATTTCTACCAGAAATGTGTGAAATAATCAGGATATAAATTTAATTTCATACTGTAAATCATGTACATGTATCCAGAGATTCATAATGACTAAAATAATTCTCAGCATTTACCTGTCCAGCCAAGGATCCACAGGCACCTGCTGCTCCACTGACAACCATTGTCTGATTAGATCCGGCAATTATATGACCTTTTTCCTGTATCCCAATCAAAGAAGTCAAACCAGGCATACCTATAGCTCCAAGAAAATATGAAAGGTGTCCATCCACAAGTTGTGCATCTACCTGAAAGAAAATATACCTCCTTTTAGCATAATACTTGCAATTCCTATTTTTAGGCAGCAAGGTAGAGACTACCTGTTACGGTCTGAATTGTGTCCCTATCTCCAAGTTAATATGTTAAAGTCCTCACCTCCCATGTAACTGTATCAGGTAGGGCCTTTCAGGAGACATTTAAGGTTAAAAGAGGTCATAAGGGTGGAGCCCTAAATCAATAGGACTTCTGCCCTTAGAAGAAACATAGGAGACACCCCCCACCCCTACCCACCCCTCAACTCCCCACCCCCGCCCCAAAGATCTTGAGGATAGTGAAAAGGTGTCTATCTGCAAGCCAGGAAGAGAAACCTCACTAGAATCAACATTTTTCAGAACCCTAATCTTGGATTTCTAGCTTTCAGAGTAGAAAATACAGCCCAGATGGCAAAGTTACCCAGCCTGTGGTATTTTGCTATGGTAGTCCAAACAGACTATAACCCATTATGGTTTTTTAAAACAGTAAAGCATTTTTCAGTCTTGTTAAAATTCTATAATCTATTTATAAACAGTAAAATATAATTATTGTTCTCTATATTTTAAAAACTTGGAAAATAATTCTTACATTTAAAAAATGAATATTACTTTTTGTCAATGACCTATGTATATCAAAAGACAGGAAATGCTTATTAGGAAAATACTAGGCAAAGTTGCAAAGTTTTGTTTGTTTGTTTGGTTGGTTTTTTTGAGACAGGGTCTTACTATGTAGTTCAGGCTAAAATTGAACTCACTATGCGAGGTCTAGGCTAGCCTCGAACTTGCAGCAATCTTCCTGCCTCAGCCTCCCAAATGCTAAGATTACAGGCATGCACCACCACGCCAAGCTAGAAAGGTTTTTAATCTCTGAGCCATGGAAAGTAAACATTTATCCATAAAAATCAACTCAAGGCCAAATGTAGTGGCACATATCTGCATTCCCAGGTACTCAGGAACATGAGGCAGGAGAAATGCCCCCTTCTACTCAGTTAGTCTTTCCGTTGACCAGCCCAGCCTGAGACTATCTAGGTACCCCACACTACCACCTCATTAACGTAAACTCAGATATGATAGAAAGGGGCTTGTCATCACACAGGAAATTCCTGTCACACAGGAAATTCCTACCATTCAGGAAATTTCTATCACACAGGAAATTCCAAGGTTTTTAAGAGCTTTGAGTCACAACTTTAGCTGCTGAATATTCCTTTTTTACTTCCCAAAAGAAATTTCTAGTTAAGTCTATGTAATTAGAAACACTAAGTTGACAAATTATTGTGTGACATCTCTTGCATACCATTTGTATCTTAGCCACTTTTGACATAACCTGAGTGACAGAAAGAATGGCTCTCCAGAAACAGTTATGCTGTAACAGCAAGGGACTGCAATCTAGGATACGCAAGCCGTGACAAACTGTGGCCACAGCCAGAGAAGCAAAAGAATGCAAGGATTTTTAAAGGCCAAACAAGGGAAGCTGCACTGGTTGTTTTGAAACAACTATTCCCCGTTACAGGATGACTGAAGCTGGCTGGCACCAGTGCACTAGTGGGGTAAGTTGATGCAAAGGCATCTCTTCTGTAGAAGTAGTATTTTTGCAAGGCTGCAGTAGCTTTGTACAAGCCTGAGGTTTTTAGAGTCCTTGTAACTGTTCTTATCACAGGCATATATTGACTAGGGGTTTTCCTGCACAGCCTCCCAACCCCATGTTAGGGTTTGGCAATAATGATTCCATTTTGGTATTAGCAACTTTTTCTTTTTTTAGCAACTTTTTGAAACACATTAAGAATTTGCAATAGTAAAAATATTAAAATTTTAAAAAGTTTTTTTGGGGGCTGGGGATTTAGCTCAGCAGCACAGCGCCTGCCTGGAAAGCATGACGTTGTGAGTTCGATTCCCAGTACCAGAAAAAAAACAAAAAAAGAAAAAAAAAATTACAAAGCTTTTTTTCAAACAGTCACACTTAATTTTTACATCTACTTATGAGATAACTATTATTTGCATTTTGCTCCTGAGGAAACTGTGGTATAGAGACATAGAATAATGTCTAGATAATACATCAGTTAAGCAGAATTACATGAAGCTGCCATTTTTTTAGGTCAAAGGAAATACTGGCAATTTCACATAGTTCAACCTCAGAGCTGAAGTGAACTCTGGATTTCAAACATGAGATGGGATTTCAATCATAAAGTAAATTAATTTCTTAGGTGGCTATTTCTCAGGAAACTTTAATGTATCTACGTATAGGGAGACTTTCTTCTTTTTTGGTGATACTGTGGGTTAAACTCAGGATTTCTGCATTGAGCTATATTCTCTGACCTTTAAAAATTTTTTAGGGCCAGGGATATAGCTCAGCAGCACACTGCCTGCCTGGCAAGCACAAAGTCCTGAGTTCAATTCCTGTTACCAAAAAAAATTTAAGTAAAAAAAAAATAAAATTTTTTATTTCCATATTTTTTGAGAGAGGGTCCCACTAAATTGCTAAATTGACAGGACTGGGCTAGAACTCTTGTGATCGTTCTTGTGATCCCGCTGCCACAGCCTCCCAGAGTGCTGGGATTGTAGGTGTGTGCCACTATGTCTGGCTACAGAGGAAATTCTAGTACTTAGTATAAAATATTTTTATATTATACATATTATTTGAGAAAGAAAAAAGTGGAAAACAACAACATTCTTTGGTCATCTACAAATTGTCACATACAGTCATAGCCAACAGAGGACAAGGAACAAAGGCTCTCCACATTTTGGCAGTGAGCTAAAAGAAATGTATGCTTTAATTTTTTCCCTGATAACAAACGAAAGCAAATACCATGTGTAGACAGTAAGAATTATGGGGCGGTAAAAACTAGATACTTTATATTATACATCACCTTTTCAAGGCTATTTCCATCCAGAATAGCCCTGGTTTGCCAAGGCCAATAGAAAGAGGTCACAAAATCGCCTTTAGTCAAACTCGTATGCTTGCTCTCCTCCACAACTCCAACACCTCCCCCGTCGGCCACCTGAGACAGCTGCCACGGTGCTATGTAGTCAGTGCCTGTGTCTTCATTCATCTTACAGCGCTGGAGAGAGAACGCATGATTAAGACAACTTCATTGGGTTCGGAGCCACAGTTTACTAATTCACTCAGTGACTAAAAGAAGAGTATATAAGTAATGTTAACAAAAGTGTTAGTCAAACAAATAACATGTATTTTAATTTCTTCATTAACTTTTTATTTTGAAAAGTAATGCACTTTTCTAATAAGTAAAGAAGTACAATTAAAAAGGAATTTAAAGCTGGGTACATTCCTATAGTCCAAACACTCTGAGAGGCTGGTTACAAGTTCAAGGCCAGCCTAGGCAATTTAGTGACTTAGCAAGACTCCGTCACAAAATACAAATAAAAATGGCTGCAGAAGCTGCTCAGTGTGGCTGCGGCTGTAGCTTAGTGGTACAGTGCTTGCTTAGCATGCACAAGGCCCTGAGTTCAATCCCCAGTACCACACACACACAAAGTAGCTCAGTGTAAAGACTCTGGATTATATCCCCAGTATTGGAGGAAGAAAAAAAAGAGGGGTGGATTTAAGTATGGGTTGGGGATGTAGTGCAGTGGTAGAGCCCTTGCCTAGGAAACTCAAGACCTTGGGTTCCATTCCTGACACCTCAAAAATAAACAAGTAAAAAATAACTTAGTAATGTTTTGAAATTAGATTATAGTAGTCAAAACAGCATAGTACTTACTTAGAAAAGAGACACACAGGCCGATGGAATAGAATAGAGTCAAGAAAGAAATCCACACATTTACAACTGATTTTCAATAAAGAGGCCAGTTGCACACAATGAAGAAAAGACAGTTTCTCTAAAAGATAATACTGAGAAAACAATATCCACAGGCAGAAAAATGAAATTAGACTTGCACTATATAAAAATATCAACCCGAGACAGATTAAAGGACTTTGTTGAAAATAGCAATGTGGTAAACAGCAATAAATCAACCTCTCCAAGTTTCAGACTCTAGACACTGGAAAATTAACAACTTGGGGAAGAAAAGGAGGGAGGTAGATCCCCAGAACCTAGCAAGGATCTGAAGGGAAAATTGCAGCCCACACAGAATGTAAAGAGACAGACCTCAATGCAGAACAAGGCGGGGGAAATCTGCACTTTCTCCCTGCTCCTGGCTTGTGGCATGAGAAAGGAGGATGGAATCTACAGACACAGTGAGGGCATCGGACTCCAGAGGCTTCCAGCGGGAAATGCAGCAGTGAAACGGAGCAGTGGATGCTGTACATTACCACAGCTGGTGACTCCAGTCCAAGCAACGACAGTGTCCCCTGGAGACAGTGTTGGTTACACATCCTATTAGGGAGGAGCCACTTGAACCTGGGACTTGGAGGAACTGTGGACTGACTTCATCTCAGGGCTCCCAGTACTGAAATCCCACAGTGAGTGGCAGCCATGATCAGGCCAGCAAGAGACACCCAGAGTATTGCAGGCTAAATGACTCGGGGCCCAACCTCACAACCAGAGGACAAGACTAGGCTGAACTTCTGTGGATTCAAAAGTATCAGAACTGGCACCCTCCCCTAATCCCACTGCAGGCTTACTGGGGTTATCCAGCATGAAGCTGGGCTCTGACTGCCTCCCTTGTCTACCAGCCAGAGCAGTCACACCTAGAACTGGACACCAACACAGAACTGTAGACCCCAGAAGATAACCACAGGCTTGAAATCACAGGGACATTTCTTTTTTTTTTGCTTTTGGGGTTTTTTTGTTGTTGATGTTCATTTGTATTTTGTGTAGGAGCAGGTTTAATGGAGGTTAAGAATAGGAAAAATTTTTGTTGTTGTTTTTGCTTTTTCGTGAGTATGAACATTGTTTTTAGTTTAGTTTAGGGTTTTTATGTGTTGTATTTTGTTTTGTTTTGAGACAGGGTCTCCCTATGTAGTTCAGGCCAGCCTAGACTCACTATGCAGCCCAGGTTGGGCTCGAACTCATGGAGATCCTCCCGCCTCAGCCTCTTGAGCGCTGGGATTATAGTCCTGCATCACCATGCCCAGCTCTTGTTTTAGTTTTTCTGTTTTGTTCCTTTTTAATTAGATTTTATTGTTTTGTTCTTCTTTTTGACTTTTTCCTTCTGTGTTTTGCTCTTGTCTTCTTCACCAGTCTCCACGGCTTGAGTAATCTTCCCTTGTCCTTGAGCCTTGTTTCTAATCTAATTGTCTTCTTTTTTCTTTTCTATTTTTCCTCTTATACCTTTTAAATTTTCTCCCCTTAGGGTAAACTCACTCTAATGACTAGATATTTACTATTATAATCTTCTGATTTGTCTTAGATCTTGTTATATACCTATAAATGTTGTAACTGTGGTTAAAGTTGGCAAATTAATAGTTATCACAGTTTGTTATTTTCCAGTCTGTATCTGATGCTATTGTTATTAATTCTACTTTAGCCAAGATGACACTGTTGTCATGATCAATTTGTCTCCCTTGTATGCCAATACTTACATTGTCTGGGGGGGCTCATAAACAATATTGTAGTCTAGTGCCAACCAACAGGGTGCTAGGCCAAATAGGCAGCAATGTTTCATCCCTAAGAAACTGGGACAGATTCAAAAGCCCAAAGCCATCTCTGCCTAGAAGACATCTCTTAAATGAAGTCATTTCCTAAATAGGTCTCGATATTAGTAATAAAGCTATCTACCATAAGCAATTTATAAACCTCAAGGCAGAAAACAAATTTTAAAAACATAGAAAATCAGAAAATACAGAAGCAACATGCAACCCATAACCCCAAGTTGCTTAAGGTGAATCAAAGGGGATTGAGCCAGAAGAAATTAAAACCCTGAATTTTATTTTATTTTATTTTTTGTACCAGGAATCAAACTCATGACCTTAGGCTTTCCAGGCAAGCGCATATGCCACTGAGCTACATCCCCGGCCCAAAACCCTGAATTTTATAAAATGGTGGTGGCAGAAGTAACAAAACTTATCAACAAATCTCTTGACAAACACAAAACAGAGATAATTAAAGAGATGACAACCATAATGAAGGAAATGATTAGTGAATCTAGAGTAGCTACAGATAAAAAAAACGGAGGAGCTTAGGAAAGAAATGGAAACAATGAATGGCCAACATAGAAGATAATTGGATTCCATAAAACAGACTTATATAGAAATCCAGGACATTAAAAATTCTACTGCAAGTATATAAAGCAGAGTCAACCAATGTGAAAACAGAGCCTCAGATCCAGATGACAGGCCCACTCGGGCGTGGTGGCGCATGCCTGTAATCCCAGCACTTGGGAGGCTGAGGCAGGAGGATCATTGTAAGTTCGAGACCAGCCTGGGCTACAAAGTGAGCTCAAGGCCAGATGAAGTGCAGAGCGAGACCCTGTCTCAAAAAGACGAAAAAAAAAAAAATAGATGACAGGCCTGTGGTTGTGATCATCAAATGAAAGACCTCCTAAAAATAGCAAGGGACTATGAAAAAACAATCCAAGTGGTGCTAGATGATGCACAAATGACTAGTATAAAATTAACTGAAAAGGGCTGGGGATATAGCTCAGTAGCATAGCACCTGCCTGGCAAGCAGGAAGGCCTGAGTTTGATTCTCAGTACCAAAAAAAGAAAATAATAACAACAGGAAACAATGAAGATTCGAAAGATAGCACACAGAGCATAAAAAAACCTGTTCACAGAAGTAATAGCAGAAAATTTTCCAAGCATGGAAAAAGAACTTGAGGTACAGGGCCTGGGGATTTAGCTCTGTAGCACAGTACCTGCCTGGCAAGCATGAGGTCCTGAGTTTGAGTGCCAGTATCAAAAAAAAAAAAAAAAGATTCCAAAGAACTTGAGATACAGTAAGTGAGGTCAATAAAATTCCAAATAGTCATGATCAGAAAAGAAAGGCATATACTCAAGATTCTCAAAATTCATACAAGAACAGTATATTAAAAACTGTTAGAGAAAAAAAATAAATTACCTATAAAGAGGAAAGTCCATCAGAATCACAACAGACTTCTCAACATAAATATTCAAGTCAAAGAGAGCTTCAAGTGAAGTACTTCAAGACCTAAAAGAAAACAACCTCCAATGCAGATTAATGTTCTTATCTTTCAAAATTGATAAAAAAAAAAGAAAATACTTCCATGAAAAAGAACACCTCAAGAAATTTATGACCAACAAACCACACTCTAAAAAAGTTCTAAAGCATATTCTAGGAAAAAAAACAACAAGGGGCTATTTAGCTCAGTGGCACAGCGCCTGCCTGGCAAGTGCGAGGTTGTGAGTTCAATTCCCGGTACTGGAAAAAAACAAAAAAACAACAACAAAAAAAAGACAGAAAAAAGACAACAAAGACAATTCCAAGAATCCCAATACAATGAATCCACCAGGCAAGGCAAGCATTTAAACAGAAGGGAAAGAAAGGGAACCAACAACAGAAAAGTAATATGACAAAGATAAATCAATACATATTATTTGTAACCATCGATGTGGATGGTCTTGATTCACCAATCAAAAGAAAGAGACTGGCAGAATGGATCAGGAAGCCAGATCCAACAATGTGCTACATATAAGAAACACATTTAACTGAAAAATAGCTTCATAGCCTGAAAACCAAAGGAAGGAAGACAATATTCTATGACACAGGAACCCAGAAAAAGCAGACAAAGTGGACTTCACACCAAGACTGATCAGAAGGGACAAAGACAGTCACTACATCCTTGTAAAGGGAACAATACAAGAGGAAGAGTGCACAATCATAAATATATTTATACCAAATACTAGTGCACCCAACTATATAAAACAAATGCTAACAGATACGAGAAATCACATAAGCACTATTACAATTGTGATGGGGGACCGCAATACACCATTGTCACAAATAGACAGATCAATGTGACAAAAAATCAACAAAGAACTATGCAAGCTAAGCCAAACCTCTGAACAAATGGACTTAGTATGTATCTACAGAGTGTTTCACCAACAAGAACAGAATACACATTCTTCTCAACAGCATAGAGGATGTTCTCCAAAACAGACCCACACACTAGCACATAGAACATGCTCAAGTAAATGCAA